CGAACAGAGCATCATTTATGATAATCTCGAACAGTTTTGAGCAGGCACACAGGGAGGTGATTCCACGATAATTTGTGACATTCCGTTTATCTCCTTTTTTGTAGACTGGGCACAGATAAAAAAAATTCCAGCGGCAGGGGAACTCACATTGCTGTGCCGAAAGATTGAATAGCCTCGCAAGTGGAAGGCAGAGATTGGCTACACAACGTTTTAGCATCAACATCACGTGGCATCCCAACAGTAGCATCCAGCACTTGTGTCGGCGAAGCAGAGCAATCGTGGAACACTTGCCTGAAATGACGAGCAAACAAGTCGCCTTTTTCTCTTTCGCTATTAGGCGAGTCATTCCCGGGAAACATGGAACAAAGCGGTTCGGAAAAGTATTCGCTTGTGTGAACCCGTAAAAGTTAAAATCGTCCAAAAGAGCACACCAAGCAACCGGCATATGCGAACACAGTGGATCAATTAATGGTGTGCCACTACAAACCAGCTTGATTGTAGTCGCCAAATACGAAAGCGGGAGAGCAGGGACTTAATTGGGAAGAAATCGAGCCTAATGATTCCACATGCTCACGGATGATCGTGCAGTCGTTTTTGCGGTCGGGGGCAGGTAGATTGCGCCTACACTAAGCTTGCTTTGTGGAAGTTCTACGACAATTCACAGCTGTTCCAGTGGACTGGAAATGGGTGACGTACTTACGTAGCTGGCTAGTCTCGTTCAGGACTGAAATCGAAAGGACATCAGGTACCGCAAGTTTGGAATCGCAATCATACTCGCCTGAGGTTGCAGGCCGGAAGCCCCGATACCATCACCGACCACAGGACCGGGACTATGAAGATGACGGATGTTTGCAGTAAGCGTGACTGGGTCGGGAGGTTCGGAAGCTTCCTCAGTGCCTGTTTTAGGGTGTCCCGGATCCGAGGAAGAGCAGGTGGCAACATAAACCTGCTGGCAGTTGGAAGGACGGATGCATAGACATGATGTGGCTAGTACGGAGGCCGCAAAACCGGAAACACAGCTAGAAATTGAAGCGGTATTAGGCAGAGGAGAGGCTGAATCGTCAGTATACTTGCCAGTAATAGCTGGTTGAAAGACCCCCGACCTACATCTACACTCAGGGCCGAGACGAAGCTCCTAACTCTATCTCCCTCTCTACCAATTATGTCGTTCTTTTTGTGCACTAAAGCTATTTTTCTCCGGTACTCACGTCGCTGCAACACATCCTTTCGCATGCTTCGCCCGTGCAGAAGCCGCTTGATTCGGTACGCCGTCCGTCAGCCGATCTTCCGCCTCAGCAGTGCCATACACCCTCGAAGCCGGACCAGGTCAACGCTCTGGTGCTCATTCACCGCCGTCTGGCAGTTTCTTTTGTCGCGTTCGCACGGAGGCGGATCTGCGCCGGACGAACCACGTCGACGTCCTCTCGCACACGCACCACCAAGTTCCGTTGGTTCGGCACTCCGGTCGCCGGCGATTCTTCACCTATCCGGTGTCCCGCTCGCTCGCTCACTGGCAAACACGCGATCTCCCCCTACTATCAATCACACCTCCTACGGCATTATTACCATAGAGGTAACTCTAAGACTAGAAGGTCCCGAAGAAACGTGCTCAACTTTTTGGTTAAGCTCTGGTATTCTCTTCGGTCCCAAGCTAATCGATGTGCTCCTTGAAATATAGAAAAATCCACGAACCCCTAATTTTATCTGTCAAACTTTAATAGCGAATCAAAACAAACATAGTGTAATACTAGAATTTCGACTAGAATGGGCTACGTTAATCGATTTGCTTGGGACCAATAGGCTAGTCAAGTAGTTAGCCAATTTAAAATCGTTAGTTTCCACCGGTTGCTATTATTTAGTCCAGCGAGGATTCGTTTATGCGTCCGTCTTCACCCAGTAAAGAAGCGGGGACTTGTTTCCAGCAATAAAAAAGGGATCCTATGTGTGAAAGAAGGTTTTAGTTAGGGATCAATCAAATTTATCAGTTCGTCCAACTTACGATTGGGTCGATCCCTTGATCGATCAGTGGGCGTTTCGTCTCCTGCACCACCTTTGAGTGTGGTCGGTTTGGGAACCGTGCTGTGATCCGTTCCAACTGTGTCAATTCCTAGGTGCACTGGTAAGCAGGGTGTTATTGGAATACGAGGGATTAATCTCACGTCTAAACGAGAACTTAAGTGTATTTTACCTTGTCTTCCAGTGTCTTGTGTGTTGATTTTCGATCGGTCTGCCAATTCAGATTCCGTAATCCCCCTGCGTGCGGGTGCTGTAGGAAAGCAGAGGGTTAACCTCACATCAGAACGAGCATTTATGAGTTTTCCTGCGTCGTAGAATCCCGTGCACTTAAGCTGGGTTTAAACAGGGCAAGTCAATTGATCAACTCATTTGAATTCAATTGGCTTGAAAAGTTGAGGCTGGTTCAACTTTTTTCATTTCAAGTGAGTCGATCAAGTCAGTTGAATGGCATGGTTTACACGTTCAATTCACGTTCAAGTCAGTTGAATTCAACTGACTTGATCAACTGACTTGTCCTGTCTAAACCCAGCATTAGTGTTGCGCCAGGTGGCAATCGTACCGTGAACCGCCCGGATTGTTAGACTTATCGGTCAGTCTGCCAGATATCGGAATTGCGTGCACCTAGTTTACCGGATGCTGTCGGAAACGAAGGATTAACCTCAAAGCAGGAGGCAAAATTTAGCGTGTTTCACCTACATTTGCTCTGGTGTGGAATTCAGCGTGTTCAATGCCGCAACAAATCCTTTCACTCCGTTGGATATCACGAAGGATGAAGAAAAAAATCGAGAGAAAATATGCACTCCGTCATGACGAGAGGAGCAACACAATAGTTGGGTAAAGAAGAATTGCATTATAACACACCATCGACTGGAAATGCTCTCGGCAACGTGGGGCTTTAGGTAGGGATGAAACGTCGCTAGAACTGTTCCACAGCCGCAGACAGTAATGAGCAAAGGCGGGCGCACACTTTTTGCCTGTAGATTTGAAGACATACTTCAAATCTCCGCGTACATCGTACGGGTTAGGCAAAAGGTGTGCGTTTGACTTTTTACTGTCGCATTAATGGCCCTTCGCTCATTTTCAACTTCTATTCAATTTACATACTGCCGTACTCTAACAGAGCTATCCACCTACCCTCTTATAAGATCATTATCTAGCTAATAAATTATCACACTAAAGCTTCATGAAACACTTTGAAAGTGAATAAAGTCGTTTTTTCATAATAATTTCCAATAGTCCAATAGTTCAAAGAGGTAGAAAAATAACTAAAACAAATTAATCCAATACCATAGAAAAGAAGTTCAAAGTCCCAAAGTCCGGTAGACAAATGCTTGACAGTTTAGATGATACGACCTACTTTATCGATCTACGTGGATTATTCGGAGGACCAGGATATAGTCATTTGATCCCAAACTATAAATTCCATATTAAATACACTTTCATCTCGTGATTCTGAACAAACAACAGTTCTAGAACAATTTTTATAATGTGGCCACTTTATCGGTCAATCCAGATTATCCGGAGAACCAGAATATGGCCACTATACCCCAAAATATAGTTTCCATATTACGCTTTGATCTCTTGATTCTGAACAACATAGAAAAAAAAAATCACAAGGTTCTAGGACATTTTTTATAATGTGGCCACTTTATCGGTCGTTCCGGATCCTCCTTTAGGCCAGTAGAGTTTCCCTGAGGGCGTATATGGTGTCTTTACACCATATATACTTAGTACTATCAATTTCTAGTAATATACGTTAAGTAAAGTGTAAAATTATGTCGATAGATAGTGGCATTTCCTACTTTACCGGGAACTCGGGTTGATCTCGGCCCTCTATCTCTATACGCAAAAGTCACCGGCCAATGAGACCACACCCAATCGATTCAGCAGCGTTTTTCCTTTGAGAATATGTTGTAACTTGTTGACTGAAACCGTTTGGCAGCCAAGATATTCAATTTAGTCGCGGTTTTGTTAATTTTTGCCCACTGTGCATTACCGGGGTGTAGGATTTTATTGTTGGAAGGAGATTCTCATTGATCCTGCGGACTAAGCGTAAGTGTCTCTGCTTACAGGTTCGCTCTCCGTTTTTGTCCCTTCATACAATGGTAAATTGGTGTTGTACAATCAGGTGTTGTACTTGATCAAGTCGTACGAGATGGATAACAGTCCACTGTCTAATAAATGTGCATGCAACAATTAGTGGTTTCCTTTACATACATACATACATACATAAAATCCCGGCTGTGCCGACTGGGATTGAACCCAGGCACTTTGGTGTGAAAGGTAATCACGCTTACTACACCACCGGTGCCGCTAAGTTGTTTAGAATTACTGTTATGGTCGAAAAGCTGAAATTTTCATCAACTAATTTTGCAGATACACTATAAAAGAGGACTTACAAAAATGTTCACGTTACTTCAAAAGATCAGATTTATGTAGATTATTTTTGTCGAATGTAGAATTTGGCTAACTGCTCACTGAGCCGACATATTTTCATTATATCATGATAGGATTTTGAGAAATCTAGATAGAGCTGACGTTAAGGCGTAACAGCTTTTGTAAACAATGACTTCACTCGCTGATTTCTAGAAATTCAAGGCACGCCCGCGCAAACCAAAATAACCATCGAGTAGAGAAAGACTTCCCCTACTCGAGATTTATTCATGGCCCTTATTACCGATGTAACTTTACGGTGAAGTGACAAATTATCACTCACGGTGAAGTGATTCCCATTTGATTTACACGGCAATCACTTCACTGGTCACTATCAATTCGTTTTCACCATGAATTGACACTCGTAAAAAGGGACCTATTCTATACGTATAATTCACACGTCATTTTAGGGCATGATTTGCAGTTATGTGAACACATGATTGTGAAGTGAAACTTCACATGAAAACTACTTAATTAGTCCATCTAGCAATATCACGAGCCTTCCTCGTACAAGGTATAGGAACTTCTTTATTTCAACAACATCCCACAATCTAATCATCGTCATGCATTGATCCAGCAGTAGCTTCACCCTCTTGACTTTCATACTCCTTGATCAAGTCCTTCAAACTCTGCTCGGCATCGACGAATTCCTTCTCCTCCATGCCTTCCCCGGTGTACCAGTGAAGGAACGCTTTTCTTCTATACATAGTCCCAAATTGATTCAACAGGCGATTAAACAACTGAGTAATAGCCGTCGTATTAGCAATGAAAGTGGCAGACATTTTCAAACCTCGCGGTGGGATGTCGCAAATAGCCGTTTTTACATTGTTTGGAATCCAGTGTAAGAAAGAAGCGCTGTTCTTCTGTCTAACATTGGCCATTTGCTCTTCGACACTTCTAGTGGAAACACGTCCACGGAAAAGTGCTGCCGCTGTCAAATATTTACCTTTCGTTGGCAAACAAGCTGCCATTAGGTTGCGCTCGTCGAAAATTTGGTGGACCAATTCCGGTACCGAGAGGTTTTTGTAACATTGGTTTTCCTTGGACGTTAGCGGTGCGATGCCCGGTACGAAAAAGTGCAATTTTCGATATGGAACCATGTTGGTTAGGAGTTTCCGGAGGTCGGAATTCAGCTGACCAGGATAACGAAAACTGCAGGTGATTCCGGCCATCGCCATTGAGATCAGGTGGTTTAGATCGTCCAGGGTGGGTTTCTCGATCCGCAGCGTCGTCATGTTAATGTCGTACAGAGCTTCGTTATCCAGGCAGAAGGTTTCGTCACTACAGTCTGTCATGGTGTTTAGAGCGAACACCGCATTGTACGGTTCAACTACCACTTCGGAAACCTGAAATTTAAATGTCGAGTCACAATATATCGAAAGAGATAAATATTTAGTTCATCTACCTTTTCCGATGGAATGACACTGAAGGTGTTGATGATCTTTCGAGGGAATTCGTCTTTCAAATTCTCCATAATTAGCGTTCCAAGTCCAGACCCCGTACCTCCACCGATCGAATGCACTAACTGGAACCCTTGGAAACAATCGCAACCCTCTACCATCTTTCTTGCTACATTCATGATCCGGCCCAGTACTTCCGCCCCTTCCGTGTGATACCCTCTGGCCCAATTGTTGCCCGCACCCAGTAGTCCGTTGACCATACTTTCCGGTGAGAACAGCTTCCCGAACCTGCTGCATCTTAGTCCCATCATCGCTCCCGGTTCTAGGTCGGCAAATATTGCCCTCGGGACAAAGTTGCAGCACGGAGCCTCCTCAAAGTACACGTTGATTCGCTGCAGCGGGAGATAGTGTTTGCCTACAAATTGACCTCGTTCGTTTAGGCAGTGCTCGTCGCAAATTGTTTCCCAGAACGTTTGGGCAATTTTGTTGCCGCACTGTCCCAAGTGGAGGGCGATAATTTCACGCATCGTTAGAAATTTGGATGGATAGTTGGGGCCGAAATTCGATTTTTTTTGTGCGTTGCCGAATGCAATTTTCGATTTTCTGACAAAAATTACGGCATGCCTACTGCGAGGATGACTGTTAGAACTACACTCAGGTCTTTTTTTACACGGGGGATACGGTCCGTGTAAAAAAAAAACCTACGAGATTTTGATTTTTCGCATGCTTAAATGTTTTTAAAAAATCGGATTTTGATGCCATTTGTAATTAAAGCATGATATGGTCCATATAGACATATTTTAAAAATTTCTGTATTTACACCAAAAATTGTGATTTTTTTTTTAAGTATGCCATTCGATTACAAATAGCTTGAAACGGATAATGTGATTGGAATCAAGTCGATAGGTTGTATCGTTGTCGAGAAATCGTTAAAAACGTACCGTGTAAATCGTGGAAAACCGTGTAAAAAAAACCGTGTAAAAAAAACCGCGTAAAAAAAAACCGTGTAAAAAAAGACTTCAGTGTAATTTAATAAATTTCGATCGTTTCATTTTTCATTGAGCAGAATTTAAATTCAATCAACAAGTTTTTTTTTTTTTTTTTTTGTCTTTATTTTAGAGATTTTTAGCCTGAGGCTAGTTCATCTCTTCAATCAACAAGTGGTTTATTTTGTTGTAATTGTTTTGATGCAAATGCAACATCAGTTTGCATGATTAGAAATCAAGCTGACCTCACATCTGGCTTGTGCATTCTTCCGGTGAATCACAACTCACAACAACCTATTTTCATATTTTAATTGTGTGCTGGCCCGAATTCCTGTCACATTATATTCCAAGTCTACCTGAAGTACCATCGTACCATGCAATTTTCACGAAGAAACAAAAACAGCTGCCGTTTTGAATTCCTTTGGCTAACATGAATAACCATTCTGGCGAATTGTGCATGTCGTTTTGTTGTCGCACTCATACATACCTACTTTTTTTATAATGTCCCTCGAGAGCTTTTTCACACTTAGAAGCTGTTGCAAACAATTGAAAAGTGCTGAAGCGCACTCTCTACCTTTTTTCATTTAGTGATGAGGTAAAGCATTGCAACAGGATGTCACCGCACGTGTGAATGCACATTCATCTTCAACATCACCATCAGAGCTAGTCGTAATTTCAGCTGGAAGTAGTAGTAGTTGGTTGAATTCCGGAAAATAAAAGATTGTGCAATTCATATGTCCTTTTTTTTGCTTTCTTTTATCCCACAGGCATTGAATAAGTTTCAAAAGTCACAACAAGTTACCACCAAAAGTGGCATCGAGCAGGAGGATGCTTTGCTCAACGAGTCTGCGGCGATGGAAACGTCGCTCAATTTGCAAATCCTGGAGCTCGAGAACGAAACCAAACAGCTACGGCATGAGCTGGAACGGGTCACGAATGAACGAGACCGGATGCTGCAGGAAAACTCGGAAATTGGCCGAGACAAATCCGGTGCGGAGGCGGAACGAGCCCGGCTAAAGGCCGAGCTCAAAGACATGAAGTACAGGGAAACACGAATGCTCAGTGATTACAGTGAATTAGAGGAGGAGAACATCACCCTTCAGAAGCAGGTGGCCAGTTTGAGGAGTTCACAGGTAAGTTGAAATGACACCGACACTAAACTTGAGCCAATGCTAATAAATTTGTTACAGGTGGAATTTGAAGGTGCCAAACACGAAATCAGAAGACTCAGCGAAGAAATAGAGTTGCTCAACTCGCAAGTGGAAGAGTTGGCTAGCTTAAAAAAAATTGCCGAGAAACAGATGGAAGATGCATTGACCGCATTGCAAGTAGGTTTTATTTCTGCCTTATGAACTGCTGCATTTCATAACAATCACTTCCTTTGTAGATCGAACGCGAAACGAAATATGCACTGAAGAAGGAGCTTGATACACATATCAATCGGGAATCGATGTACAACATTAGCAATCTGGCAATCAGTATACGGGGAATGGAGGAGAGCACGCTGAATAGCAGCGATTGTGAAGACGAAATGCCTACCTTGAAGTACGTATGGAAGTCAATGACTGTTCTGGTGTGTGATTTTCCTTAAACATCCTATCACTTCCAACAGAGACTCGACACTCAAACGATTGGAAACCCTGGAGGCGGAAACAGCGGACCTGAAATCTCCGGACGGTACCAAGGTCGATCTGTTCTCGGAGATTCATCTGAACGAACTGAAGAAACTCGAAAAGCAATTGGAATTCATCGAAAACGAGAAGCTCTGCTTGACTGTCAACCTCCGGGACGCCCAGCAGAATCTGGACAAGAGTCAAAACGAGATGCAGAACTTTATGGCCAAGCTTACGCTTTTGGCTGCCCACGTCGATGCGCTAGCGAATCTCAAGAAGCAGATTGCGGCCGAAGACAAGTTCGCAAGTATGTATCTATCTGTTCTATAGAAATTGACAAGTGCGACAAATTCGATTTCAAATTACCCATTTCCGCAGATGTGTCGAACAACAAGGACAAGGTGATGAACGACAAGCTGAACGAAGCCATTCTGCAGTACTCGAATTGGTTCACGCTCAGTTCGAAGGAAATCGATACCTTGAAGGCCGATCTAGTCGAACTGCAAAAGGGTCTGAACTGCTCAGACGCCATGGCTGTGCTGCGTAATGAAATTACCAACCTAAAGAATAAGGTACATTTGCATTTATCAGCAAACTTTGATAAACTAACTAAAACTAAATGTTTCTTCCAGTTACTATCCTCAGAGCAGAAATCGCTGGATCTACACAGCGACGTTCAGGTACTGACAACACTGTCACAAACCGCAGGCCAAAGTCTCAACTCCACCCGTAGCAATCTGGTATCCCTCAGCGACGACCTCGCCCAGCTTTACCATCTGGTTTGCACAGTCAACGGCGAAACACCTAATCGTGTCCTGCTGGATCACAAGAACGACGATCTAAGGTTTGTTGTCCTACTGGTTTCCATTTCCTTCTTCACTCTGATCACACATCTTCATTCTACCAACAGCTTCGACAACGACTCCCTGTCGGCAATCCAGTCACAGCTTAAATCCGATCTCCTAACCTCAAAGCCGCATGTTTTCGAGGACCTGCAGGCGCTGAGCGATGCTGTCGAGATCAAGAAGTACGTCGACACAATCAGCGATCAGATCAAGTACCTCAAGAAGGCCGTGGAGCACACGATCGAGCTGAACAAGGACAAGGTATCGGACGTGGCCGCGGGTGACAAGGATGCCAAGGAGGAGATTGCCGACCTGCATGAACAGATCATCAAGCTCAAGAGTCTGCTCTCGACGAAGCGAGAGCAGATCGCCACCCTCCGAACGGTACTCAAGTCGAACAAGAACACGGCCGAGGTTGCGCTGACGAACCTCAAGTCCAAGTACGAGAACGAGAAGCTGGTGGTGAGCGACACCATGTCCAAACTGCGAAACGAACTGAGGATTCTCAAGGAGGATGCCGCTACCTTCTCGAGTAAGCTGACCGTTTTGCGTCACTGTTTGGAGATTAGTTTGATTTAATTCTTTCTATTTTTTTAGGTCTCCGGGCAATGTTTGCTGCTCGCTGCGAGGAGTACGTTACGCAGGTTGATGAGCTGACGCATCAGCTGTCGGCAGCCGAGGAAGAAAAGAAGACTCTGAATCAACTGCTGCGACTCGCCGTGCAGCAGAAGCTGAGCCTTACCCAGAAACTGGAAGAACTGGAAATGGATCGGTACGTATTTTTCAGTCTAGCCAGCATGTCATTTGATGAGTTAACATGTTTCGTTAGAAGCGTTAGGTTCCCTATAGTTGTTGGAGACTCCATAAGCAACTATAGGAACCTAAAGAGTGTTTACCCTATAATATTTCCGTCCAAGGAAACACAAAAAAAAAACCAATTCTAAAGTTCCTGGCAGTGTTTTAAAGTCAAGACAATTCTAAAAAGAACGTTAAGCTTGCAAATTTAAGTTCCCATACTTAATGATGTAGCCCTCCTACTATATCTACGCGCGACGGAGAAATCCTTTCCATAGAACTCGATTTTGAGCTAATCGACAGTTGGTGGTTGCGGTGGTGTGCTATTTATCTAGCCACGTTTTCACCCCTTTGGTCGTTATCACTACGAAGTTCTTGATTTGCCGCCGGCGCTCACTACTACAGAGAAAAAAACATCATTGAAACTTGTAACGACAATGTAATCGAATCAAGAAGTGTTTTCTGAACAGCTAAATAAAAAAAAAATGAGCTAAATCAATTAAATAATTAAAGTTCGATAAGCCGATTTCGCTTTATTTATCGGTTTCGGCCGCTAAAGCACACCATAACCTCAATGAAGGCCTATTTCGCGCAGCAAGTGAGTTGAGGTGACTCGCGTTCACTAATGAGGTGACAATATAGTCACCCCATGTGAGGTGATTCTTTGTTTGATTTGCACGGAAAGTCACCTCACATAAGCGAACCGGGAATACCGGGAAATATCCAGGAATTTGAAAAGTAACCGAGAAAACCGGTATAAATCCGGGAATTCGATGAGAGAACCGGGAAAAATAAATTAACCACACCATAGGAATTAATGTTTTAACCAGAATTTCAGAATAAACCAAAAACAGAGTGATTCTTTTTACCAAATGAATGCTTTCTCTATTTGCTGCATATTTTTTTTCATATTCCCGTCTTATTGTTTTTAGAATTTAATCACTCAGTTTTATTACAAATTGATTTAATTTTTTTTGTAGTTTCAATTTCAGATGTATAGTGCATGGTCCTTAAAACAAAATATTGAAGATGCTGGACTTAAGGGGGTATTCCCAATCTTTTGCCTTTTTTCGGCCTGTTTTTCAATTAATTTTTTTTCAAGGAAAATGAATAGTAATGCGCCTAACTCTTTGGGATTCTTGTTTATTGAACATTAAAGTTTACAAATAAATTTTTTTCGACATAAAAAAAGACATTATTGACGTCACAAAATGGCGACAAACAGACCACTGTTCGCCGCAAACGCCTGGACGGGCGAAGACTTTTCTCTGGAACGGCTCTACTGAAACAGATTTCGTGATGAAATTAATAATCTGCATAAGATTCTCTGGAGCTTCTCCCGTTGGCAGCAAAAAATCTTGCAAATTAACAAAATGGCGGCCATATGAAAAAACAGGCGATTTTTAGCCCGCTTTTTTGCAACTTTAAGGTGCTTCAAACAATGTTAAATGTTAATATTTTTGGCTGAAAGTGGAAGAAGCTCCAAAGAATTTAATAAGAAACAAAATGCGCAAAGATTCAAGTCAATATCTCTTATAGTTTCTGAGAAAAATCTTCGCCCGATAAAAAAAATGTGGTTTCGAGAAAAACGCGTTTAAAGTTTTGACTTTAGTTAAAACCATTTGGGGGTTCTTACCATTAGTCAGCTATGCCTGGACACCGAATTCGCTGATCGGAAAACGGCTTGGGGGGATGAAAGTATATAGTCTAAAGTACAAAAAAACGTGAAAAAAAAAATTTGATTTTTTGAAAAAAAAAGATCGGGAATACCCCCTTAATAAACAAATATTTGTAAAAAAACTGAAACTGAACTATTCTTTTCCGGGGTTTTAATTTTATTCAAAATTCTCATATGAATTCCAGAATTAACTTGTAATTCTGATCTGAATTATCATGGATTTCTTCTGAAATTAATCTGAAAACGCTCCGCGTAATAATTATAACAACATAAATCTTTCAAAATTTTATTTAGAAACTCCTTGGTTTGCTGGCTACGAAATATTTCGCTGCGATCAAAACACGAATAATAGTAGGAAAACTACTGGGGGAGGCGTCCTTATCGCAGTTAATTCCAAGCTGAAAGCAGAAGTTATCGAGGACGATTCCTGGAACAGGGTTGAACAAGTGTGGGTGGCTATTCAACTTGGTGATCGTCAATTGCTTCTCTGTACAGTGTACATCCCTCCAGATCGAACCCGTGACTTGGAGCTTATTGACGCACATTGTCGATCCGTCTAGGCCGCTTCAGACAAAGCAGGCCCTTCCGACGAAGTTATTGTTCTTGGCGATTTTAACCTATTGCATGGACTCCAACCCATAGTGGTTTCTTTTGTCCTGATCACGAGCGTTCATCTTTCCACGTAGGAACCATTCAGCTCCTGGACAGTTATAGAACCGCAATTCTGTCACAAATCAATGGCCTATTGAATGAAAACAACCGTACCCTGGATCTCTGCTTTGTGAGTGCTCGTGATACAGTTCCTTTCCTCTCCACGGCACCCGAACCTTTAGTCAAAGAAGTACATCATCACCGAGGGGGGCGACACATCTAAATCTCAATTCTAGATGCTCAACAAATCTCACACTAGTGAATCAATCTTCGCAAAATCTTCTTTCATTTCTCGCATCTACTTGCATCGCCCATAATATTTTTGCAGGAAATCTTCAGAATTGTCATCAATCTTCTTTCTATCTACTCAGCGTGTGCGCAGCAAAGCACAGCAAAACACAATTTTCCCTGCATCGTAGATAGAGTCGCCCCCTTCGATCATCACCCTGTTTAGTTATCGTGATCCAAAATAATATTGTCCATGATTTCACCAGCACTCCAAACGCTGTGTCATACGACTTCCATAGAGCTGACCATCGCAGTATCGTCCATGTGCTTTCTATCCTAAATTGGGACGTCAACATTACTGCACAAACCTTTACTCACGTCTTGGCATATGTCATTGACAGACACGTTTCCAAAAAGATCATCCATCTCGAATCTCGCGTCCCGTGGATGACGAATGCTCGTTGAAAAAAACTAAGAAGGCTGCTCTCAGAAGATTTACTAAACTCCGCACATTGCCGCTGAAATGCTACTATGTCAGACTCAACCACGAGTATAAGCGGTTAAGTCGTCTCTGTTTTCAACGCTATCAAAGGAGGATTCAACGACGGCTAAAATCACACCCGAAATCCTTCTGGAACTTCGTAAATGAGCAACGCAGCGAAGTCGGCTTACCTTCTTCCATGATTTTTAATGGTGAAACTGCTGACAATCAACAAGACATTTGCAACCTGTTCTCAGCCAAATTGGCTAGTGTGTTTGAAGACGAGCAACTCTCCGCTAATATCATTACTTCCGCGGCCAGTAATGTTCCTTTGGTCAACCAAACACTCAGCATGGTCGAAGCCACTACAGATACGATTTCTAGAGCAGCATCTAAACTTAAGACTTTAGCTAAGGCTGAACCTGATGGTGTTCCGTCGATTATTCTTAAAAAGAACATCACTTGTTTTTTAGATCCACTGCGCCGCATATTCCAGCTCTCTCTTTCCAGCGGCATCTTTCCATCTTGCTGGAAGACTGCCTGCGGATATGTTTCCTGTTCATAAAAAGGGAAGCAAAACTTTTTGAATTGGTTGTCGTAGAGTCCCTAAATGCGCATTGCAAGCAATATCTAAGTATAGATCAACACGGATTCATAACTGGGCGTTCCATAACTACGAACAAGCAGTGCCTAACGTCTAACGTTATCTACACAGATCTTACTGCAGCCTTCGGTAAGTTGAACCAAGAAATTGCGATCGCTAAGCTTGATAGGCTAGGGATCGGTGGATATCTTTTGAGATGGTTTCGTTCATACCTCACGGAGCGCTAATTGACAGTAACTTTGGGTACTTGTCGCTCAGCAAGCTTCTGCGCAAAGTCCATTGGTATTTCTCCTTTACCTACTTCGACGACGTTCACCATGTTATCACTGAGCCACGATTATCGTTTGCAGACGATCTGAAAGTTTTTCTGCGCATCCGCTCACTCGCCGACTGACGTTCTCTCCAAAATCAGATTGACATCTTTGCTGACTGGTGTAGTCTAAACCGACTGGTGGTCAACCCAGCAAAGTGTACAGTTATTACTTTCTCACGCAAGAAACAACCGATTATTTTCAACTACAAACTACTAGGCGCGACTATCGAACGGGTGCATTGCGTGAAAGATTTAGGCGTTTTTCTAGAGTCAAAGCTGACATACTCACACCATATATCGTATGTCGTCGACAAAGCGTCCAGAACTCTTGGCTTTGTCTTCAAGATTACTAAGAACTTCACAGACATTTACTGCTTAAAATCGCTCTATTGCTCTCTCGTACGATCTACGTTGGAATACTGCTCTGCAGTCTGGAGCCCGAACTACAATAATGGGGCCGAGCAAATTGAATCTGTACAACGACGTTTTCTTCGCTTCGCGCTCCGTAAGCTGCCTTGGAGATACCCACTTCTTCTTCCAAGCTACGAGAATCGCCGCCAATTTATCAATGTCGCGTCCTTACGTATCCGAAGAGATGTTTTCAGAGCCTTAACCGTCGCCGATACTCTGCAAGGAAGAATCGACTGCGAAGCAATTCTACAACAAGTGAACATTAATGTTCTACCTCGATCACTACGCAACAGTCTTATGCTGAGACTTCCACTTCTTCGAACTAAGTATATCTTAGAGAGCGCTATTTACGGCTTGCAGCGAGTGTTCAACCGAGTAGCGTCGATGTTCGATTTCCACTTGACACGGAATATGCTTCGCCGAAGATTCTCTGCCTTTTTTGCTGACCGAAGGCGCTTGATGCCCAACAGCTAAGTGTAAAATTTAAGACTTATACATTTTTAGTAACTTGACAATGCTTTCCTAGCTATTTTCGTTTGTAACTGTAGTAACTGTACTATACGTAGTCTGTATAATCTGTACTTTTTTTTACAACACACCATTGGGACTAT